CCCTCCCCTCCTCCCCCCTCCCCTCCTCCCCCTCCCCCTTTCCCCCTCCCCCTCCCCCCTTCCTTTCCTTCCTCCCTCCCTCCCTCCCTCCCTCCCTCTCAGCTGGCTGTAACTATACTGTTGGGAGGAAGTTCCAAATCGGCTCTTAGGTTTGTTTGTACTACTCATGGAATCTATGCCCACATATGGTGTATCCTAGAGCAAGTCCTTTGCGGGCTCCAAGCTTCTTCAGGCCTATTGTCAGCATAATATAGCCCTGAGTTTACAAAGTGCATTATAACATGTCTTTTCCTGGGTGTGCACTTTTAAAGTAGAGTCATAAGCACACAGAATTTCCTGAATGACTCTCAAGGGCTTACAATGACTGCAGCCAAATGTTGAGTTGGGAGACTTTCCCAGAACCATATGAGAATACCCACAGTTGTTACAAACTGTTAAATAGCATAAAATGCTCCTTTTTATTAGTCACATATCATAGTTATTGCACACACACCTCATGAGATATCAAAGACTGAGCTCACCATTTCCCTCATAAACCCACCCTCTGTTTCTACCTTCTAGCCAATATCAGTACCCAAACCCTAATCGTATAGATTAGTCTGATTTGCTCCATCTTCTCCTGTTTCCTCAGATGTAGTGAGTTGCTAAGTTCTGTCCCTGATATTATTTGCATCTCCCATTTTTGCTTTCTTCCTCCCAATTGAAGCCCCTCATCACCTCGCCCACATGGACCATTCTAATGCTACGAGTCCCTGCTCAACCTCAGTTCCACTTAGCAGCAAATATTTACACTACTGGCAGGATAATCTTCCAAAAATACATGTTCAGATAATTCTATTATTTACAAAGTTTTTAATAGCTTTCTATTGTTTAAAGAAATAAATTCCAGCTCCATAGTTTTTTTGTTTTGTTTTTTTGAGACAGAGTTTCTCTCTTGTTGCCCAATCTGGAGTGCAATGGTGTGATCTCAACTTATTGCAGCCTCTGCCTCCTGGGTTCAAGCAATTCTCTAGCCTCAGCTTCCCAAGTAGCTGGATTACAGGCATGTGCCACCACACCCAGCTAATTTTTGTATTTTTAGTAGAAACACAGTTTTACCATGTTGGTCAGGCTGATCTCGAACTTCTGACCTCAGGTGATTCACCCACCTTGGCCTTCCAAAGTGCTGGGATTATAGGCATGAGCCACTGCATCTGGCCCACAACTTTTTTTAATCTATCTTTAAACCTTTTCCCCGTAGAAGCCCTCAAGCCATTTTATCCTTCTCTGAGCTCATTTGACCTTTCATACATTCATGTGCTGTTTATGCTCATCTTTCTATAATGTTCTCCTCTTTAGATCTTGGTTCTTTGGGTCTTAGCTGGGAACTTGGGGCTCAGTAAGTATTTAATGATTAGATAAAGGAGGAAATGAACCTATTCTTTCCTCATTGACTGTTTATTTGTATAAGATGGAGAACCAGAAGCTAGATGCCAACACAATCATGTTTTAGCTTGTTGAATGATTTTGTCTAGAGTTTGCTGACTGTAGGATACCTCAGTGCATGAAAGGAAAAGAGATGTTTTTGGTAACATTTCTGCTCCTCCTACCCTCATCTTCATTTTTGTCCTTCTTCCAAATGAATAGCGTTTTAGCTAGACACATGGTTGCCCAGCTAAACACTGTATTTTCCAGCTTCCCTTGCAGCTAGAAATGGCCATATGACTAAGTTCTGGACAACACTTTGTAAATAAAATTAATGGGTGCCATTTGTGAGATTTATCCTTAAAATAACTATTTGTGTACTCCTCTGGTTTATTTTCCCTTTCCAGATGCTTAGGAAATGATGAGACTGGAATGCCATTTTAGGTCTACAAGTAGGGGCCATAAGTTAAAGAAGGCAGAGATGCCCACTAGCCTTAGGGTATCCACTTAACTCTAGACTGTTATACCACTGCACTTTGGGGTTTTCAATTATAGCACCTTAGCCTGTACCCTACACTCTCCCTTTCTTTCTTAAAACAAAACAAAAAAGAAAAACAAATTTTGTTCAGGATGATCACTTAATGAAAAGTTATCTCCTCAGATCCTTTTGCCACGTTAGGCAGCCATAGTATACATTTCAGGCCATGAGATATGACTGGAATATTCTTGGAAGGACCTTCCAAGAGATCTCCATTTTCATAATAAAAAAAATAGACTGGACTGGAGTAAGTCATTTTGTTTCTTTTTTTTTCTGCCTAGGAACCATTTATGATGTCATTGTTAAGTTATGCCTTCCCTTTTGAAAATCTACACCTCATAAAGGCTAAAATACTATCAGATTTTGTTTCTACCTAGGACATTCCAAACATCAATCTAATGAATGGTATACATTGAGCTATAGCATTGACTTATAAATTTGAATTAGACAAGGTTTTACTCCATAGAACAGCCCTGGACTGACTACCCTAGGATTTCTAATTACCCAAGGAAAAAAAATGAAAACAAAACCAAATGCTTTTTAGTTTTAATACTCTGCTATATTCCCACTGCCTGGCTTGTCTAATAAATATTCAAGAAAATCTGCTAAATAAGTAAGTAAATTAATAACATTAGAGTATTTTAACTTTTCCGCTCCTTAGAAGGAATTAATTACTATGAATTAATTAATAATTGGGAACTGTTTTATGATTGACAGACCGAATTCTTTAATGTTCATTCTATGATATAATTGAAATACATTTGGAGTTCCTATATGAAAACATTCTGCTAAGCACTATAAGGAACACAGAAGTAAATACATAGGCAAGCATAGGCTCTACTGAGGTTAGAATTAACCAAAAGAATGTGTGTGATGCTTTATTGTAATATTTGCTTTATTGCAGTGGCCTGGAAAGGAACTTTCAATATCTCTGAGATATGCCTGTAGTTCTCTGATGGCTATTTGGGTGAAAGAAACCATATCTAAGTTTTAAGATACATTTGTTGATATGCAAAGATGGAGATTAGCAAGCATTTGTTGAGTTTGATTTCACTGGTACAGTTGGTACCAGGCAAAAGGCTTAGCTGTGCAGTCCGTGAGAGGGATTTTTTCTCCTGCCTTGCATTTCACTACCACCGATGAAGGGTACTGCTGATGTTAAATATTCAGACAGATCTAATCCAATCACCACTGAAGAACTTTACTAGAAGACAGAGTACACTTATAAGATATTTAAGAATCCAGTAATATGGTTTCTCAAAAGAAACTACCACACAAATAGTTGTTAGCAGAAAAACTGAATATAAAGAATAATTCCAGGAATCAAGGAGGCTGAAAGATATAATTTAAGCCTTAAACTGAAATACATAATTTATTAGACCTCATTCTTTGATCTTTAAACCCAAAACTCTGAATTCATTGAGATATTCCAGGAATATCTGAACCACAAATTCAAAAATGCTTTGTCAATATTTTATCATTATAGTTCATAAAAGCCTTTTTGTGGGAAGGAGCAAGATTTGTAATCATCCCTATTTGGCAGTTGTAGCAACACCAAGGGAAAGTCATAGGGAGCTGGCCTTGGTCTCTAGGATACAACAGTTTCAGGTTGTATTTACTCTAATTGTAGCTGCCCAATCTGAGACATTTGCGTCAAACTGATGAGCACTTTCTTTCTAGGCAGTATGCTGACTTTTCATAGGATCAGGATCAGGTCTAGTTGAATACACAGCATTGCAGATGGACTCTGGAGAGCTTATGATTAGTGCAGTTCTCTGAACTTCCTGTTGCCTGTAACAAAGAGGAAGATGGTGAGAATAGAAACCTATGGACATTAAAAAAAAAAAAAAAAAAATTCTAACTATCCTTTAAGGCCATCCCAATCTACCTCCTTTATGGAGCCTTGCCACGTTCCCTCAATTATTTATAATCCACCCCTACTTTTACTCTCCATAGCATTTGGTTTAGCTTTGGATTTTTTTTCAAATCCCCTCCTTTAAAAACATTATTTTGTTTTAATGGCCTTATAGTGACTTAAGTAAACATTTTCATTCCATATACAATAGTCATTTTAATTGTAACCTCAATGGAGGCTATGCTTGCTTATGTATTTTTTTCTGTGTCTCTTGTAGTGCTTAGTAGAGTATTTTCACATAGGAACTCCAAATGTATTTCAATTATATCATAGAATGAATGCTGTGTCTCATATGTAAATAGATGTGCTGTCATTTAGGTTTTGTTGTGCCACTTATAGAGCACAGAGTAGAGTTAGCATAGTTCTTAAGGGCCCTAGGATTTTCACAATATTAAATGAGCATTGGCTTCAACTTAGTCACTAGCTGTATTAGCCCCTAACAAGAAAATCGACGTGACCTTTAAAGTTTGAAGCCAGCCATTGTTTTTGCCTCTCTGGCTAGAAAGTCCTAGATGGTATCTTTACCAATATAAGGCTGCTTCATCTTCATTGAAAATCTGTTGTTTAGTGTAGCTGCTTTAATCAGTGATCTTAGCTAGATCTGTTGGGTAATTTGCTGCAGCTTCTTTGTCAGCTTTGAATTGAAGAGAGTTAGGGTCTTGCTCTGGAGTAGGCTTTGACTTAAGGGTTGTTGTGGCTCCTTTCATCTATCGAGACCACTGAAAGTTTCTCCATACAGGTTGAGTATCCCTTATTTGGAATCCATGGGATCAGAAGTATCTTGGATTTCAGCGTTTTTCAGATTTTGGAATATTTGTATCATACTTACAAGTTGAACATCCCAAAATAAAAAATCTGAGATCTCAAATGCTCCAGTGGGCATTTCCTTTGAGCATCATGTTGACACTCAACAAATTTTCAGATTGTAGAACATTTCACATTTTGAATGTTTGGATTTAAGATGCTTAACATCTGTAAGCAATAAGCCTATTTCATTCTCTTATCATTAATGTGCTCGCTGGAGCACTTTAAATTTCCCTGAAGAACATTTCCTTTGCCTTCACAACTTGGCTGTTTGGTGCAGGAGTCCTAGCTTTCAATGTAGCTCAGCTTTTGACATGCCTTTCTCACTAAGCTTAATCATTTCTAGCTTTCTATTTAAACCGAGAAATGTGCAACTCTTCCTTTCACTTGAATACTTCGAGGTCATTGAGGGGCTATTAACTGACCTGATTTTATTTATTTTCTTTTTTCTTTTTTTTTCCCATTTATTTTATTGCATTTTAGGTTTTGGGGTACATGTGAAGAACATGTAAGGTTGTTGCATAGGTACGCACGTGGCAGTGTGATTTGCTGCCTTCCTCCCCATCACCTACATCTGGCATCTCTCCCCTTGCTATCTCTCTCCAGCTCCCTAACCCCCACCATCCCTCCACTATGTCCCCCCAACTGACCCCAGTATGTAGTGCTCCCCTCCCTGTGTCCATGTGTTCTCATTGTTCAACACCTGCCTATGAGTGAGAACATGCGGTGTTTGATCTTCTGCTCTTGTGTCAGTTTGCTGAGAATGATGGTTTCCAGGTTCATCCATTTCCCTACAAAGGACACAAACTCATCGTTTTTGATGGCTGCATAATATTCCATGGTGTATATGTACCACATTTTCCCTGTCCAGTCTATCATCGATGGGCATTTGGGTTGGTTCCAGGTAACTGACCTGATTTTAATATTGTTGTTGTCTCAGGGATTAGGGAGGCCAGAGCAGAGGGAGAAAGATGGTGAAATGACTGGTTGGTGGAATAGTGAGTACACATTTATCAATTAAGCTTGCCATCTTATATGGGTGTGGGTCATCACATCCCAAAATCATTACAACAGTAACACCAAAGATCACTGCTCACAGATCACCATAATGATATAAAAATTATGACAACATTTGAAATATTGTGCAAACTGTGAAGCAGAGACACAAACTGAGGCACGTACATGTGGAAAAAATGGCATCAATAGACTTGCTCAATACAAGACTGCCACCAATCCTTTTTGGAAAAAGATAATATCTGTGAAGTGTAATAAAACCAGGTATGCCTGAACATATGCTCAAATAGTTTAGACAAAGCCATGTGTCTATTCAACCATGCTTAAATGTCTGCTAGGTTTTTGAAGCATTGTTTTGGCCTGGCTGTTTAATGAAGAAGACGACTTGGTCTCTGTGCATAGTGTATAGTTTAGTGAAGTGTATAGTTCAGTAGAGGTTAGAGGTATGAATCAGCAGAGTGGTAGCACAACTGTAATCTCTGGGGTCAAAGACAAATTCTGCATCATCTCACTTACAGCTGTATGTGTAATATACAAAAGTCGAACTTAGACAGGAAGTTACCAGACACTGGGGGTTGGGAGGAGGGCGGATGTTGGTCAAAAGACACAAAATTCATTTAGGCAGAATAATTTCAAGAGATTGAGTATATGTTGATATGGTTTGGCTCTGTGTCCACACCCAAATCTCAACTCAAACTGTAATCCCCATGTGTCAAGGGAGAGACCTGTAATCCCCCTGTGTCAAGTAATGGAGGTGATTGGATTATGGGGGCTATTTCCCTCATGCTGTTCTAGTTAACAGTGAGTCCTCTCACAAGATCTGATCATTTTATAAGGCCCTGCTCCTTCGTTATTCTCTCTCCTGCATCATCTGAAGAAGGTCCTTGCTTCCTCTTCATCTTCTGCCATGATTGTAAGTTTCCTGAGGCCTTCCCAGTTATGTGGAACTGTGAGTCAATTACACCTCTTTTGTTAATAAATTACCCAGTCTTGGATTGTTTTTTATAGCAGTGTGAAAACACACTAATGCATATGTCATGGTGGCTATAGTCAATTACAATACATCGTATAATTGACAATCGCTAAGAGAGCAGATTTTCAGTGTTCTTACTACACACACACAAAAATAAGTTTGCAAGGCAATACATATGTCATATAGCTTGATTTGGTCACTCACAATGCGTATGTTTACCAAAACATGTTTTACATCATAAATGCATATATTTTTATTTGTCAGAATAAGTTTAAAAAATCAAAATGAAAGAAAAGTTTTCCAGGGGGAAGTGACATTTGAAGTGAATGTTGAATGACATTCAACATTTCATCATGTGAATATGATTTTGAAAGGCAAGGAGGTTTGGGGCAGGAGAGCAGGAAAGACACAGGACCTTAAATGAATTTGCTGACCTTTGAGGAATGGTTTAGGGCTGAAATTGTTTCTGTCCTCAAGAAGGTAGGAAGAGAAAAATTTCAATTACATTCTGACCAATTTGTACCTACTCTGACTTAGCTATCTTTTCTTTCTCTCTACAGTGAAGCCCAGGAGGCTGTAGCTGTATAATACAGTAGCACATATTTGTATCACATTATATAGATATTTAAGTGCATTTTAAATTGCCCTTGTCTGATCCTTATAACACCCCTGTGAATGAGGTGGGTGAAGATATTATTTATAGAAATCATTAAGAGCATGGGCTTTGGAGTCCAACAGGCCTGGCTTCAAATTCTTGCAAGTTTGGGCCAGTTACTTAATTTCTCTGAGACTTGGTTTTTCTTCTATTTTTCTCTCACATGCCTGTAATGTCACACTTTGCTCTACTGATCAGATCTCTTTAGTGGATCTGACATTCCATTTTACTCAGGAATCCAACCTTTGGCGATTTCAGAAGCAGTAAGAACAGAGATTTAGAGAAGGGGCTTTGCAGTCTTATTGTCTGAGTTCAAATTGTGGCTCTATTCCCTTTCATATAGGTCAGGACCTCTGTTGCTCTTAGGAAAGTTAACTTGTTGACATCTCGAGACCCAGTTTCCCTCCTGCTCTCTCTTCTTCCCCAGACCACACTACCCAAGCTTAGGCAGAGATTCCTTCATAATTCACTGTAGCAAGAAGAACTGAGATAGTGTTATAATATACACACAATCACTAAAGACCTGAGATAAACAGAAAACTTAACACTGTATGCTAGCTTCAGTTGCTGCTGGAATCCACAGTCCTCAGACCCCATAGGGGTCCTCTTTCAGGCATTCTTCTCGGCCCACTGTTACGTGGAAGAGGTCAGCATTCTCCAAGATTGACACTTGTACCAGAGAAGCCAACTCATTATAAGTTGGGAGAAGAGGGGAGGTAGTTTTCTCTCACTCTCAGCTAACACCTGTTGTTAGAGGTTGCCCTCCCCCTCAGGAATTCACTCTTCCCAGGATGATTGACAGAGGGCAGGTTAATTTCTTTAAGAGGGAAACCTTCACCCCTACCAAAATCCCATGCAGCCATGCAGTACTCCCAACAAACTAAAATTCTGGCTGGACTCCCAACAAACGAAAATTTTGGCTAGGCTTCAAACTGATATTTTTAAGTATTCCACACTGATTTAATAGGGGCAATTTTGTTTTTATTAATAAAAAGACTAAATATCTTGTTAAGTTTAAAGGAGGAAATTAATACATAGTTTAAATATAAAATATTCTTACATATTTAACATTATAGTCAAGAAAGTTAAAATACTTTTTCACTCAAAGTTGACATCTTTTTTGTCAGGATCAAGAAAATCTCCTTCACCAATCCTTAAAGGAATTGCATAACATGATTAAACCTTTTTCTATTTGTTTTATTGATGCTTTAGCTCACCTTAAAAACTGGTATTCCAGCTAGCTACTCAAGGGCCTAATATGCCAAATATAGCACTAAATTTATCCTCAGGAATGTCACCTAAACTTCAGTTCATAATACATATCTGAGAAAAATATAAGAGTATGATTTTTAAAATCTGGCTTATTCGGTTTTGAATAATATTGTAAGAGATATGAATTGTCCAATTCAGGTTGGTTTTCAGTAGGTGCAAGTCTCAGCATCTATGACCTAAACATGAATTGAAGGTACATCGCCGTACCTATGCCGCACTCTTTTAGGTCTTAGCACCTAGTCTTTTGTGGGGAATAGCTTAATAAGAACACACACACACACACACACACACACACACACACACACACACCCATTCTGTTTAAATAAGCACTACTGAGTTTCAGGTATACCATAGTCTTAGATCTTAGTCTGTATTTAGAAAAGAGACTTTCCTACAAAAAAAAAAATTTCTTCCAGAATGAGGGTATCTTTTTACACTAAATTCAGAATAAGCCGGTTCTTTTGAGTTCTCTCAGCTCCTTCAGAGTCCATTCCCTCATCTTTCTGCCTTTTTGATCAAAGGCTTTGGTACCCCATAAAGGTTCCCAAGACAGTATGTTACTTACCTTGAATTTCTTATAAAGGAGATTGTGCTGTAGGCATTCCTCCGTGACTTACTTTCTTTACTCAGCATTTGTATTTTGTTTGCTTTCAAATTTTCTGAAAACCTTTCTGTTTTTGGTGTATCTCTTCAGTTTTGTTTTATGCTTCAACCTGAAAGCCTTTAAACAATTTTTAATGTCAGTTTAATGCAATAAAAATGGGCTTAAATTCAGTTTGGCATAATTTTATGCCATATTTTCTATTTTATTTGCTTTTTAAAATCTTTAAACTTGAGAGTTTTTTTCTTTTCTTTTTGGGGTGAATATAATTTTTTCTTTTATATAAACATTTTGTGGTAGTTACCTTTGTAATTATTACTCTATATTATGCCCTTAGGCTTTAATTTCCATGGACAGTATTTATTACTTTCCTACTACAGATAATGATGAAAATCATATACTTTGGGCCAGGCGTGGTGGCTCATGCCTGTAATCACAGCACTTTGGGAGCACACACTGGGCAGATCACGAGATCAGGAGTTCAAGACCAGCCTGGCCAACATGGTGAAACCCTGTGTCTACAAAAATACAAAAAAATTAGCTGGGTATGGTGGTGTGCTCCTGTAGTCCCAGCTACTTGGGAAGCTGTGGCAGAATAATTGCTTGAACCCAGGAGGCAGAGGTTGCAGTGAGCCGAGATCGTGTCACTGCACTCCAGCCTGGGTGACAGTGTGAGACTTGTTCATTTGAAAAAAAAAAAAAAAAAACAAAATACACACACACACACACACACACACACACACACTTTATTATCTTCCTTCTCTTTCTTTTCTTTCCTCCACCATACAATTTTGGTAAATTACATAAATTTTCTTAGTGTTTCCCTTTGTTCATTAAATAGGATTACAATATTATTAGTTTGTTAAATCTAAATAATATTCTTTGATTTCTGATTTATATAGATGAGAAATCAGCATTCTTTGCTTTCTGCTGTTTTTTTCCTTCCATATATATATTTTTATTAGTCAAACTACATTCACACCCACACCCACATACACACACAATTTACCTTTGTTCCGTCACCCTAATGTCTATATTCGTTTTGGTCTTCATTGTATGGGGACATAAAATTCTCACTACTACCACCAGTCTTTTTCCAAAGTTCCCCTTTGGTTCTCTAGTCTTTGGGTTCTACTTATTGCCTGAGTTATTAGATGAGAAATGTAGTTTGTTAACTTTATGTTCAAATAGCAAGTTAGCTGGGCATAAAATCTTTGAGTTGTACTTTTATTTGGCAAAATATTTTGCTGGGGTTGCCCCTGCAGTACTGAATGATATTGTAGGGAAGTATATTTAGCCTTATTTTTCCTCCTTATAAGAATCTCAATCCTTTGGCCTGCTATACATGGAAGGCTTTATCTTCAAAATTTAATAATGAGGATATATCTCACTGTTGACAACAGTGAGTAATATTCCCCTGATATATTATTCATGTCTTCAAATAATGGGTTCAAATGATTTGATATCATATTTCATATATTTATTAATTATACTTTGAAACATTTCTTCTGTTTCATTATTTTAGTTTTATGGCTTGAGTAAAGAACTCTAAAGTCTATGTTGTATTTCTTTTGACTCTTTTCTATAGTTGTCATTTTATTTCCAATTCTTTTGGAAATTTTCTCTTATTTCAATTTTATTTTGTCACTTTCATCATTTACACACTTTGTGTACCTGTTTTTGACAGTGTCAATTCTCCCTTATGATCTGTCTAGTGTTG